TATCAAAGCAGAAGTTATCTAAACAAGTAGTTATTTAAACAAGTAAAACTGTTTTTAGTTGTTTCTCTTAATTCAATAGCTACTGTTGGAAAACTTTAAAATCTAAATCACCAGGAGTGATAAGGAACAGAATGAAAATTGCTGATTTGGTTTTCTTTCTTTCTTCCTCTGAATAACTTGAAACTGAAAATGGAGAAAGGTCTGCAGGCATAGGAAATGGGTCAAGCATCCAGGCCCAGTCTTTACCAAATCCCCAAATAATCTGCTATACTTCTCTCCTGTGCATGATGCCAGCGAGTACTTGTCTAATATCATATCTAAAAGGGTCCTTGAAGAAACTCTTGTCAGGACAAAGGGAATCTGTTCTAAAGCTGAACTGATATTTCCTCTTCCACGGCCTGAAATCTGTGAGCAACTGGTAAATGGTACACCCTGAGCTCTCTGTCAAACCAGGTCTGGCTGCAATGGCAGCTCTTTTCCTATAAGAAGGAGCCAACAATTCCCAAAAGAGACCACCACCTAAGGCTCCTAAGTCCAAAAAGATGGCAGAGAACTGTAATTGAATTCAAGTCAATATTAGCATACAGAGGATCCAAATTAATAGGACAGAATGATGCTTTTGGTATCTGATTATCCATTTCAGTCTGGCCCATTTAAAAGAACCAGACTCATCCTCACAATTGCAGAATTGTATGGTTCGGTGCTGTACTCCTACTTGTTATTTCTGGATGGGAAGAATCTTGTGAAAGTTTCCCGTCAGGTCCTCAGCTATTCAGTAGGGAGTGGAAGAAAGACTGGTGTCCCACTTTTGGAATGATGGAGGCCAGAGAGCAGCACTACAAGAGCCACTATGGTGGTGACAGTAGCAAATCTTCCTCTGCTGTCACCCTGGGTGGATCCTGGTGTCACTTTGAGGAAGGTGGCGAGTTTCTTTATGGGTGGTGATAGCACGAGGCACTGGCTGCTTTGGCAGAGGAGAAGTCTGGGACTCCTGTAGAAGGGGAGGGCTGGGGCACTCCTGACAAGACCAGTATCTGTGGACTTGTAGATGCTTGGGTTCAGAGAAGGAAGTATGGGCCACTCGGTAGAAGCACAGGTTCTAGACAGCAAAGTGATGAATACTTGCAATGGAGACAGCTCTTCTTGCCTCTAGGTCTGAGAACATTTCCCAGCAAGTAGCATCTATCCAAATCTCCCAGGTGGAGGACATGGGACAGATATAGGACACCCTACAGAATGACCAGGTGATGCTGGCAGCAGAGGTCCAAAGTGGGCTGGGGAGAACCAAACCCTTGAGAAGGTGGCCAAGTCATGAATCTCCAGGTGGAAGAGACCTTAAGCAGAGTATCTTAAGCAGGGTGACAGAGGGTACCAGGCCATTGATGTGCTACTACATGCACAGCTGTCTAGAAGCGGTCACTGGAGTCACAGGTCCCCCACAGAGAAGTACATCAGCAGCATTCACATGCGATGGCACAGCCTTGGAAAGCCAGACCTGCTGAACAAAGCTGCCCAATCCTCCTTCATGGATGACTACCTCAATCTAAAGGCAGGACACAGCTGCCTAGAGTTCCACCAGAATATAAAATATCTCTTTTTTGACCAGGTGCAGTGTCTCAAGCCTGTAATCCTAGCACTTTGGGAGGCCAAGATGAGAAGATTGCTTGAGCCCACGGGTTCGAGACCAGCCTAGAGACCTCATCTCTACAAAAAAAAAAAAAAAGCCAGTGTGGTATTGCGCATCTATAGTTCTGGCTACTTGGAAGACTGAGGTGGAAGGATCGCCGGAGCCCAGCACATCGACACTGGGGTGACCATGAGCATATCACTGCACTCCAACCTGGGCAACAGAGTGAGACTCCAACTCAAACAAACAAGCAAACAAACAAACAAAAAGCCTCTTTCTCAAACTAGGATGAAGTGGGGTGAGAGTTGGCAGAAGAAGCCCGAAGAAAGTGTAGATACATAACCTGATTCTATCCTCTTGGTAAAGTCATTAGTTTGGAAGACTTGATGGGTTAGTAGCTATGATATATAGCCTAGCAGTCCCTCTCATCCCAGGCAGAACAAACAGATATTGTTGGTGACATTTTATGCTGCATGGGGCCATTGAGTAAGGGGCTTACATAAAGCTGTAGAAGGCCATGTACACTTTGAGCAACAGACTGCCCTGCAGAACATCTCTCTTCTTCTGACACAAACAGAAATGTGCCCCTACAAAATTCCTCTCTCTTCCCCTAAACTGGGAGCTTAGAATTCCCTGATATAACTGCATCTGAAGGACAGAGGGTTGGTATCTGGGTGACCTATGAACTGTAATGATTGCTGCAGAAGCTAGTATAACATTTAAGGCTTGGTGGTGGTGATGGGGAGCTTTTGGACTATTTGGTTTCTGGGTGAGTTCAGCTCTGTTAACTGCAATTAGTATTCTCACCCCCTGAGGGCACTGTTGGAAAGCAGAAAGTGGTGGAGAGTGGTGGTCAAGTCTTAGGAATCAGCAAGCGGAAACATAGAAATTTGCATGTGATCTGAAACAGAGGAGCTGTGTATGACAACAAGAGGTGGTTCTTACAGGCAAATTGGAGGTGAACCCAAAGAGATTCCCTTGAGGCACTGGTACAATACCACAGGAGAGGCCAAAATACCACAGGAGAGGCCTGTTAAGGGCTGAGAGCACATTCATGTCCACACCTGCAAGGTAGAGAGTGTAGACACTGTTCCTCACCCTCAGCTCCCATCTGATGGAGAGACTGGATTGGACACTGGTGGGTGCCTGAGTCCTTGCCCAAGAAAGACACAAGGGACCCCGGCAGCAGGGTCTGGCTCCAGGTCAAGGGGCTGGCAGGTTGGGTGGGGACCAAAGTAGAATAGGAGAATGTCATTTAGACAAACCGGTCACACATGGGGGTGGAAGGCTTCTGGGGCTCATGGCCAGGACTAAATCGACTCCAAATGGAAAAGCAACAACTAGGTGGGACGGAGTCTGAGGGTGAGGCGGGCCAGGGGTGCTGACATAGAAAACATTTCTTCTGGATATTTAAGTGCTCGGTGAAAAACAGACATGTATAGAATGAGTATATAAAAGTATATAGTGGTTGGGCACGGTGGCTCGAGCCTGTAATCCCAGCACTTTAGGAGGCCAAGGCGAGAGGATTGCCTGAGCCCAGGGGTTTGAGACCCGCCTGGGCAACTTGGCAAGACTTCGTCTCTACAATAAATCAAAAAATTAGCCAGGCATGGTAGTGCATGTCTGCAGTTCCACCTACTTGGAAGGCTGAGGCAGAAGGATCGCCTGAGCCCAGCAGGTTGAGGCTGCAGTGGCCATGAGCGTGCCTCTGCACTCCAGCAAGTGCTACAGAGTGACACTCTGACTCAAACAAACAAACAAAAGTATATAGTGAACAAGTATTTGTTTTTGTCATCACTGTTGCTATTGTTTCTCTGAATAGCAACCTTAGAAGTTATACCTCTAACACCTGTAATCCAGAGGCTCCCATAAACAAGTTCAGAGCCACAAAACTACAGTGGAGGCCTCATTCCAAATCGGAATTCTAAATGTGACTCACATCACTCATGAGCCACATGAACTCATGTTAATTTTATGTGACTCTCATGTTCCTGAGGGCACAGTTGGAAAGCAGAAAGCGGTGGGGAGCTTTGGTGGTCAAGGTTGCACAGGACCCTTCTGACTTTGTCTGTAGTCTTCACAGAGAGTAGGTGGGGGAAGGAAGAGAAGAAGGATAGGCTAGGGAGTGATTTCTACAGAGTCATTTTTCTAATTAATGATTATTTTCCACAAGTAACAAAGAAGAAACAAACTAAATATATTCCTTACTAGTCCAGTCACATACACAGCCTGAGACCTCTAGGGGAGAACACAATAGAGGACCACATGCATGTATTTGTATATTTACTTTTTTTTTTTTTTGAGTTGGAGTCTCACTCTGTTGCCCAGGCTGGAGTGCAGTAGCACTCACAGCCACTCCAGCATCGACCTGCTGGGCTTACATGATCCTTCCACCTCAGCCTTCCAAGTAGACAGAACTACAGGTGCACGCTACCATGCCCAACTAATTTTTTGATTTACTGTAGAGATGAAGGCTTGCCAAGTTGCCCAGGCTGTTCTTGAACCCATAGCCTCAAGCAATCCCCTCACCTCAGACTTCCAAAGTGCTGGGATTACAGGCTTGAGCCACTGCACCTGGCCTTTATATTTACTCTTATATGTGGCCTAATCTCTGTGGCCAAAGAGCTCATCACCTTCTCCAACCTGAGATCCTCACTGCTCTCCATTCCTGGTGATTATCCTCCTTCAAAAAATCTATTTTGGCGTGCAAGAGGTCTTTACTGAAGCCAAAGATAATAATAGCATTTTTGCTTAATGTTCCTTTTCTCATTGCAGTCCCATTTGTCTTTTTAGTTTTATTGCATTTATTTATTTTTTGAGTTGGAGTGTCCCTCTGTTGCCCAGGCTGGAGTGCAGTGACATAATCACAGCTACTGCAGCCTTGACCTGCTAGGCTCAGGCGATCTTTCTGCCTCAGCTGTCCAAGTAGATGGAAATACAGGCGTGTGCCAAGTCCAGCTAATTTTTTGATTTATTGTAGAGACGAGGTACTCCATGTTGCCCAGCCTTGTCTCAAACTCCTGGGCTTAGGCAATCCTCCTGCCTCGGTCTCCCAAAGTGCTGGGATTACAGGCATGAGCCACTGTGTCTTGCCCCATTTGCCTTTTAAAAAATAAATTAATGCACATGTAGTCAATAAGTAGGAGATAGGTGCACTTTTGAACTCTCATCTGTGTGGCACAGACAGTGACTTCGGGGAGTGATGTAGTAGAATACATAGGCATTGTCCCTCCTTTGAGAAGACTTACGACTATCTTCTCCTAAAAATTGAATGTATGAGCCACTTGCCTTATTCTAATAAAAAATCTGTTAATTGCAACTGTGTTTTACTGTTATTGGTATAGATTTAGGCTATAATTAAGTGGAAATTTACCTCTGACATATTGATCAATGAGCCGTAAATTAACTTCCACATGCTTAGCAGTTGGATCAAAGTCACAAATATTGTTGACTAAATATTTGTTAACATACTATAAACAAAGAACAAAAGAAAAGTTATGGTATCACCAGCAAATGGAAATACAGTGCCCAGTTCAGCAGTTTACATAATTCTATTTACATAGTTTTGTTGTTGTTGCTTTTGTTTTTTGTTTTGAGACAGAGTCTAGCTCTGTTACCCAGGTTGGAGTGCAGTGGTGCGATTATAGTTCACTCTAGCCTCAAACTCCTGACCTCAAATGACCCTCCCACCTTCGCCTCCCAAAGTGTTGAGATTACAGGTGTGAGTGAGTCACTGCACCTGGCCTATGTAGATTTTTAAACAGCCAAAACCGATCTATAGTGTTAGAAGTCAAGATCATGGTTACCCTTGGGGTTTGTGGAAGGGATGGAGGGATGATAGGGAAGGGTGCAAGTGAGAGCTTTTGGGAAACCACTAACGTTCTGGTTACATGAGTGTGTTCCATTATATGAAAATTCTTGCATTTGTACATTTATTATTTGTGTAATTATGATTTGTACAGCTAAATTTGTGTAGGTGATTCACAAAAAGAATGCTTTAAAGCAAAACTTACAAATTTACACTTATCCCAATTTCCGAAGTCACTTGAAAATTCCAACTCTGGATGAAAGAACAAGATAACCGCCCTCAGGGTGTCTTGCACTAGGTTTATGTGGACTTCCGACTCTAGGAACTTGCTGTCTTGAGGAGAACTTGGATTGGCTAGAAGATTATGGTCATAGAGCAGCAGTGACACAAAGTCCATGGAACTGAGTAGTTGGAGGCTTTCCTGCAGTTCCTGCAGCATGATTCGGAAAAAGAGAATTCCTGCCCGCTGGACTTCCCCTGCATTTTCAATCTCTGAAATAACAACATGACATTGCTGTTCAGTCACATATGGTACTTCTTCACAGGATTCTTAACATATTGTAGTAAACTTTTTTCCCCCTCAGGAAAAAGCAGACCATAATCTATGGTTTGAAACAATCTTAGTTTCTCTAAAACATGAAATCAAAAGAAAGAAATGTAATCACACCTGGTGAAGCTCATAGAAAGAAGCTTTGAGAAAAGGTGATAGCTTGGGTTTTAGTTAGACTTTAGTTTGAATGCATGCTCTCCCTCTTATTAGTTTTATTGTCTGTCTGAATATCCTCTGCCTCTTTTGCGAAAATGGGGCTAATACCTACTTCTTGGTGAGCTGTGGGAATTAAATGAGATGCTATCTGTAAAAGTACTTAGCTTCAGGTCATACACATAGTGAACACCCAAAAGACACAAATTTGTTTTTTCTTTTTTCTTATCCCACCCTATGTAATGGCTAGAAATCTTTCAGCTGAATCTCACACAGTGTTACTTTTCTAATTATATTCACTTCATTCTAGGGAGCTAAAAGTCTCTGGGCCTTCTTCTTTATTCTCAGCTCTGCAAGCTGGTATTGTGCTAAGAGTAGCCTAGTGGATGTGAAATTACAAAAACTGGGGACTAGTCTTAGCTCTGCCACTAGCTTGCTATTGGACCTTGGATAATATACTTTACTTTTGTGGGTTCCAGCTTCTTTATCTGTAAAAGGAGATGTTCTGATTAGCTAAGAAATATAGCAGAAAGAGCTGAGAAATATAGCAGAAAGAGCACCTAAACCTGGGTTCAAATCTAGCTTTCACCATGTGATAACTGTGTGATTTGGGACAAGATGTTGGCTTTCTCTGAACTTTACTTTCCTCACTGATAAATGGAGTATTACCGTTCACTTCATAGGGCTATCATAAGGATTAAATGAAATAGTATATATAAAGAGTTTGACATCTGATGGGACATTTAATAAATGTTAGTTCTGTCTTGGCTTTATGAGTCCTTTCAGTTCTAAAACTATGTGATTCTAACCAAGAGAATGTGATTTCATGCTTTTTAATTTATAGGTGATATTCATCCACTCAAGACTGCATAAAGGAATTCCTTTCACATAGAAAGATATGTATATTGAAACAATTCATTTTTTAAAATGCATAATTTATTACACTGTCAGTGTTTCCCCAAAGCCTATTAAACCCATCAATCCAGACTGTCACCACATTCACAATACCTAAGACATATTTTTTCTCTATCTCTCCAGAGGATTCGCCAAGTATTTCATAGCAGGCCATTTGGACCACCTTCATCATTTTCTGTAGATCTTTAAATTCTTGGTACAACAACATCCTACTCTTCCCAATGTTCAAATCAAGGACTCCCAGAGCCTCTCCTATCCTTTCACGAAGTGGGATTACTATATGGGTTTCCCCACAGGCAGAGGCCAAAATAACTTCTGAACTGTCTGTACACTTAAAGAGGAAATCTCTGAAATCAAAACCAAACAAACACAAGAATATTAAACATCAGTCTGTTCACAACATTCCACCCAAACATACTGAATCACTCTCTCTTGTGCTTACCTCACTTCCACTACACCAGTCGTTGTTCCATCTGTCTAGAACGCTCTACCTCTTGATTTGACATGGCTCTGTCTCTCAGCTCCTATGTCTCTGCCCAAACATTCCCTCAGCAGAGTGGCCTTCCCTGACCACCCAATCTAAGGTAGCTGCACCCAAGTCATTCTCCTTCATGATACTCTGCTTCACGTCTTTGCTATACTTACCTGCAAGAGTTTTTTTTTTTTTTTTTTTTTTTTGCTTACTTATGATTCAACACACGTTGATTGAATGCCAGCAGGAACAATGAGTGTGTTAGAACAGGTTGCCTAGCAGTAAAGCCTGAGACAGGGATGCTGATTTAGTGAGAGAGCACTGTCTGGAGAAACCTGTGAGGAACTGAGGGAATCAGAATAGGGAAGAGGGAGAGACTAAGTAAGAATGAATTTCAGGTGAAGTCTAGCCTCAGCCTGATCCTAAGAAGATCTCTGGAAAGTACATTGTGCCAAAGAATCTGTCTACCTTGAGGCAGGGAGGGGTCTTTGTATCCTAGCTCTAGTCATTCATTGGCTCTAAGCTGCTCTGGGTGTGTGGGGGTGGCTTGGGGTAGGGGAGTGTTTATATAACTCCTAGGTACTCCCTGGTGAAGGGCTCCAATCTATCAAGGGCAAAGTTACTGTGTAAGCCATTACCTGCAGCAATAACTACAGCAGCTGGTAAAAGGCATTTGAGAGATCTGGGCAGGGCATTTATAGCATCTGCTTCAGTGAGAGACCTGAGATTTTCATGGAAGTGTCATGGCTGTTTCTCTAGGTGAGGCAAAACATATCTCTTTTTCTCTTTCCTCCTTTCCTCATTTACCCTGATACTGTATTGAGATGCCATTCCTTTAAGGGATTTGTAAGAATGTTGGTGCTTTGCAAAGCCTCAGGAAGTGCATTTATAGTTCATAATATCGATCCTATAATGACAGGTAAGACTATGTCCTTCTGCTGTTCGCACCCCTTGCTGCTGAGCCATCACTTTGTATCTTTATGATAATCACAGTAATAATGCATCATGCTACACTTTCCAGGCATAATTATAAAGCCCCTTGGCCAACAGACTCCAAAGTCATCTGATCTCAGTTTCACACAGGAATCCAGGATTATGAGTCTGAGTGTTACAAGGACTCCTGTAAAATTCTTGACCAGCACAAAGAATAACTATGTGGAAAAAAGTTTGAGATTGAATGAACATTCTGCTATGAAGCCAAATTAAAATTTAATCAACATATGTAATTAAATGTCAAATTAACCTACTAGTCTGAGATTACTGAGTTACTGCCTACTCAACTACACTGACCCTGTGAGAAGCAGTCATTCCTTTTTGCAATAGACATGTTCTAAGTTAAGATCTGTTTTGTATCTGTCCACAGTTTAGTAGTGTTCTTGCATTCCACAGGGGGAGTCATTCTAAGGAATCTAGAAGTGGGCACTTTTTAATTACAGCATTCTCTACCTTTGCTCCAACTTTGCTCCTGTCTGTATTCTTTAAGAGAAAAAATGTTGGCTAGCTAACATTAACAGATGAACTCTGATAAGTAAGTGATGTAGATATATGTATTATTAACAATCACAAGAGGTTATGTTGATTTCATTGTTTACAAGAAAATTATAAAAAATAAAACACTATCCATGCTTTAAAACATGTGATTTTAATATAAAATTCCAATGAAATATGTTTTAAAGAGGAGGGCTTGGGGGGGGGGGAAACACTCAATATATCCCATGCAGACAAGGTTTTACAGAAACTTTTCTGTAAAACCCAATCAGAGTAACAGCCAGTGTATACTAGTAAGCTATTTCTTTCAGAAGTCATTTCTTTCAGATCTGCTATCATACCAGGAGAATGTGCTCTGGCAGTCAAACAAAATGGTCATATCTCCTACCTGAAGATGCATGACTTCCTGAAGATGGTAGGGGGAGATGTGTGGATTTCTGTTAGACCCAGCTGCCCTGTAACCATCATATTGCGTAAAACATAGTCTGAATTCTTGAAAAGAGGAAGAGATTTCATTAGAAGTAATTAGACCTCATATTCCCATTAAAGCTTTTGGGGACAGATACACAGGAAAGTATTAGGAAAGTTTAAATGATCTCTAGCTTTAAAGACAGTGACATTATACTTAAGTATGTCAATACCACTGAGGGTGTTCCATAAGAAAAAATTTTCAAAAAAGTTGGATTTTTCAAAAATGCGCAAACTTATTTTATATAACTGTGACAAAACTGTGTGCTTATATTGGTTTTTTATTTGTTTTGTTTTGTTTGAATTGGAGTCTCACTCCGTTGCCCAGGCCGGAGTGCAGTGGCACACTCATGAGCACCCCACCATCAACCTGCTGTGCTCCGGTGATCCTTCCACCTCAGCCTTCCAAGTAGCTGGAACTACAGGCGTGCGCTACCATGCCCGGCTAACTTTTGATTTATTGTAGAAACAAGGTCTCGCCAAGTTGCTCAGGCTGGTCTTAAACCCATGGGCTCAGGCAATCCACTCGCCTCGACTTCCCAAAGTGCTGGGATTACAGGCTGAGCCGCCGAGCCCAGCCTATATTGTTTTTTAGATATTGAAACTACACTATAGAACATTTGGAAAATACAGAAATAAAAAAAGAAAAGAAATCCAAATTTAAAATCCTCTAGGGAGGTCTTTGCCCGCACCACTTCGCCAAAACTGTTCTCGTTAAGGTTACCAGTGACTATCTCATTTTCAAATCCTTTGGTTGCCCCCTAGTTCTCACCTTTGTCTACCTCTCCACAGCATTTCATTCAGTGAACAACTCCCTTCTTAATCTACTCTCTTCAGCTAGCTTTTGTGATACCACTCTCTCATGTTTCTCCTCCTACCTCACTACACAATCCTTTTCTTTCTCCTTGCTTCTTTATCTCCTTTACTTCTAAGAGGTTTTCAAACTGTAGGTCATAATCCACTTGTGGGTTGTGAAAATAGTTTAGTGAGTCTTGATCAATTTTGGGGGGGCGGGTGTGGATAGGAGTTTGAAGTTGTAATGGGCTATGATTGCACCACTGTACTCCAGCCTGGGCTACAGAGAAAGACTCTGTCTCTAAAAAATAAAACTAAAAAACAAAATATAAAAAAAACTGGGGGGAGGTAAAGGCTAGTTTATTTATAAGAGGTATATATATTTGAGTTGAAGTCTCACTCTGCCGCCCAGGCTGGAGTGCAGTGGCACACTTATGGCCACTGCAGCCTCGACCTGCTGGGCTCAGGCAATCCTTCCAACTCAGCCTTCCAAGTAGCTGGAATATGGGCATGCACCACCACACTGAACTAATTTTTTGATTTATTGTAGAGAAGCGGTCTCGCCAAGTTGCCCAGGCTGGTCTCAAACCCATGGACTCAGGCAGTCCTCTCACCTCGGCCTCCCAAGGTGCTGGAATTCCAAGTGTGAGCCCACAGCGCCCAGCTATAACAGAGCAATATTAACAAATTCTGTAAAATACACTAAACCATAGGAAAGACACATTCAATTAGGAGAAGCAAAGAAGTTTTTATGACTTATTCCTTTACAAAAATAATTCTTGGAATAAAAGGGAAACTGTGATAAGAGGACCCATGGGGGCTGCATGCTGAATGATACTTGAAAAAGGAACACCTACTTTATAATGTGAAACTTTTTCTTACCTCTGTACTCCATGACCTCAAGGGTTCTACCAAACACTTTAGATGAAAAATGTTTTCAACATTAGATTTGGCAAACCGTTAATGTTATTCCACATTGGCAGTTGGGTTTCTAGATTCTTTCTGAATTTATTTCTTTCATGGTCTGTTATTTGGTGTTATACACTAGACTGAAAATATTTTTTTAAAAAAATCTCACCCTGACTGTGTTTCTAGGTTTAAATGTTTAGCCAACACCAAATAATTTCTTTCCTATTTTTCCCTTCACAATTGTATAAATAGACCACTCCTGCTGTTACATAAGAAGCATAATATAGAAAATAAGGAGCTCATAATAATATGCCTGAAAGTAAGCTTGTTTTCCATTTGATTTTAGTAGAACCAAGCCCCTCAGCAATTATTCAGTAGTGAGATAAGCACTCTTAGTTAAAATTTCCTAGGGAAACTTTTGGAGAAAAGGTTGCAATTATATTTCCCCCATTTTCTTTCTTCTGCTACAGGCTTGCTATTTTTTATTTTCCTCTTCTCTTTCCAACAGCTATTCATTCTCGCTACACATTACTTATGTTCTTTGCTTTAAATATTTATCCTCTTGCTTTTTTCTCTCTCAATGCTTTGAAAAAGAATAAAATAGAATAGACAATATCAGAAAACATTACATGTAGTAAAAGTAGGTATTATTTTGTGAAATTTATTTCGTGTGTGTGCACATTCATGTAAGGGCTCAGGATATAAAATGTTTTGCATACTGTGGGTCACAGCCAATATAGTTTTGAACCAAATGATTCTCAAGTGCATAGGGTACCTCAGCGCTCAATCCTCAGACATTTTTTCTTTCCATTCTCACTCATTCCTATGGTCACACCACCCAGTTTCACAGTTTTGTGTTTTGTTTTCTTATTGTTGTAAAATATACATAGCATAATCTTTATCATTTTAACTATTCACGTAAGTGTACAGTTCAGAGGCACTGAATACCTTCACAATGTTGTATAACCCAGTCACATGGTTTTAAATGCCATTTATTTATTAGCCTGGATTTTTCTCCAAACCCTAAGCTTATATCCAACTGCCTATTCAATGTCTCCAGTAAAATGATATTTCAAATTATAGTTTAAAAATATTTTTTAATTTAGAAGGTCAAAGTCTATTTTTTACTTTGTATTTATTTCATTGAGGATGATTGAATTTTTTTTTTTACATTTTTATGACTGATTTGAATGGGGTTTTTTATTTGTTTGTTTGTTAAAGAGGCAGAGTCTCATTCTGTTGCCCAGGCTGCATTGGTACAACTATGGCTCACTGCAGTCTCAACCTCCTGGACTCAAGTAATCCTCCCACTTAAGCCTGCTGAGCAACAAGGATTACAGGTATGTACCACAATGCCCAGCTAATCTTTATTATTTTTTTGTAGCGACAGGTTTCACTATGTTGTCCACGCTGTTCTCATACTCCTGGCCTCAGGCCATTCTCCTACCTTGGCCTCCTAAAGTGCTGGTATTACAGGCATGAGCCACTATGCCCTGATGAGTTTTGTTGTTTGTTTGTTTGTTTTTAATAGACTTGTCCTTTGTTTATTTTTCTTTTGAATTTTTAAAAAATCTCACTGATTTGTATCTAACAGTGTTAACCCTTTGCCACATATGGGACAATTTTCCCCCAGTTTGTCATAAGCAATTTAATTCCATTTATAACTTTGGTGCATGTTTTACATTTTTATGTAGTCAGTGTGTCAACTTTCCCTTAATTGTTTCAACACTTGGTGCAAATTTAGCAATACTTCCCCAGCCTGAGATTATAAATTTTCTCTCAACCCTCATATTCTCCCATCCAAGTACTAACCAGGTCAGACCCTGCTTAGCTTCCAAGATCAGATGAGATCAAGAGCATTTAGGGTGGTATGGCCATAGCCTCAACCCTCATATTCTTATTCTATGAAGGTTAAAATCATTTGTGAAGTTTTAAAAACTCACATTGGAATTTTTCTTGGAATTTTGTTAAATTTATAAATAATTTTGGAAGAATTATATCTTTTAAAAGCGGTCTTCTTATAAAAAAATCATAACATGACTTCCTACTTTATTAAAAAAAAGTTATGTCCCTTGATAAAGTTTTGCAGTTTCCTTCATATAGAGTATAAGGGTGATGGGATGAAATGGGGGAAATGTTCCCAACAGTAACAGCACTTTTGAAATCCCTGAGGTGGTTCACACCTGTAATCCCAGCATTTTGGGAGGACTGCCTGAGTCCAGGGGTTCGAGACCAGCCTGGGCAATTTGACAAGGCCTTGTCTCTACAATAAGTAAAAAAAATATTAGCTGGGCATGGTGGCACACACCTGTGGTTCTAGCTACTTAGAAGTTCGAGGCAAAGTATCGCCTGAGCCCAGCAGGTGGAGGCTGTGGTGGCCGAAAGCATGCCACTGCACTCCAACTTGGATGACAGTGAGACTCCGACTCAAACAAAAAAAAAAAAAAAAAGAAAAGAAAGAAAGAAAGAAAGAAAAGGAAATCCCTGAGGTAAAATACAATTTGCTTTCTATCATGGATGGTGGGATGTGAGACACTAATTCAATTTTGGTATTTCATTTTTCTCCTCCTGATGATCTCTCCCCTCTTCTTCCCTCTCATTCAAGCAGAAAGTCTATATCTGTTCACTGCCCTAGAAAAGGAATGTGATGAGGTAGAAAGCAGAAATAACTGGCTAGTGTCTGATTTTTGTTTTTTCAAAAGCCTACCTTACTATTACTTAAGGTAGCAAACCAGGCACACAGGTTAGCCACTTGTCCCCTCTTGAAAACTCAGGGAAATAAAAGACTGAGGTCATGCTGTCTTTGCTTGCTGTCAGCTGGGGGCTGCCCTTAGTGCCTAGAGAGCCCAGGTCTTTGTACATAGCCCTGTGCATCTCAGAACCGGCAGTGGGGTGCCAAATTGGCATTTCCTTGACTCCTCCCTTCTCTCAGGGATCACAGCCAGAAAGGGTTCTCTGTTTTTTTTTTTTTTTTTT